CTCGCCACCCTGCTTCACCCGCCCTTACCAGGGCCAGTCTGCTGGGCTTTGGAGGTGGCTCTTGCCCATGCCAGTCCAGCTAGGCTGCAGCCCCATGTCCTGCTGTTGGCGCACATATCTGGGGTGGGGGGTTATGCCCCTCCATGCTTCCCTGATGTATTGCCTATGGGTGGGCACCCTCCTACCCCACATACTCTTCCTGCCCCGGCTGGGGGGAGGGGGCAGCAGGTTGGGAGTGAGGGGCACTGGCAGGGATGGGAGACTAGTGAAGTCAGGGGCTGCAAGTTTATAGTAAGGGGCACCAGCAGGCCTGGGGTGGGCTGTGGGTCTGGAGTGAGGGGTACTGGCAGGGCTGGGGAGCTGTGACTTGGGAGTGAGGGGCACCAGCATATCCGGACTGCTCAGTCCCAGAAATCAGCAGGGGGGACAGCCAACAAAAAAACCCAAAATTGGCAAACCTCTCCCAAAATACCGAAGTATATAGGTATAAAATTAATTTTATTATAATTTTTGAGGCACTGGTAGGCTTCCAAATTGCTTTAAAATGGTAAATATACCAATAAAACATTGTGATAAACTGATACCTATAGATATAGAGATATATCTATATAGATATAGATATATAGATATCTATAGATCTATATAGATAGATCTATAGATATCTATAGATCTATAGATATATATATATATATATATATTAGTGACATTTCATTTTAAGTGTGGAAAAACCTGGATTTGGTAGGGTTTAATTGGAGAATTTGGGGTTTTTAACAGAGAATATACCAGGATCCCTGGTCAGCGAAATGCATGGTCATCCTCCTGACACTTTTATGTCCCTGTCTGACGGGGCCTAAGGATCCTGAATTCTGCAGCAGGCTTTACCCTCCCCCCCGGAAACTTTCAATAACCAAGCAGAATGGATGTTGCAGTCCATAGGCCGTATCTTTGACACCCCTCACTTAAACCATCGTTTATGCTTATGGTCTCCCAAGACCACAGGAGATTAGTTGTCCCAACATTCCCTGCAAATGCTCTACAGCTGAGAGAATGTCTAGTTAGCCAGGAGATCAGATTTGAATTTATCTATTAAGAGGATTTAAACAAATAAAATTTCAGTTAGTAGAGGGAAAATATATTGCACCAAAGAAGCTTATAAATATAAGCTATAACCTCTTGAAAAAATCCCTGTGCCATAATTTGAGGGCATTATCTATTGCAGAGATCGAAAAATCTAGAAATTGGGTTGTGGCTGTGTGTTCATGTACATTCAGAATATCAAGACACTGCAAAGAAGATGAGCAAATCCTGACATACTGGCTTTTATATAAGTATGCTCCATGCTGTGGTACTTGAAATCTTACAGAAATCGGACTACTTTTGTACTCTATTAGGAGCCTTTCCTGCTGGTTCCAATACCGTGAAAATCCCATTTTCCCAGTTCTGTGTCTGGATGTATTGGCAAATCAAAATATTGATCACTTTTTTGGTATTCATGCTTGTATTTAAGTAGTGTGGTTTGTTTTTTTTTTTCTGAGAAAGGGGTGACAACATTGTTGTCAAGGAGATTTGTTGAAATAACCAATTGGTATTTTTAAAGAGGAGAAGATCTACAATGTCATAATTTTCTTTCTAGGACATAATCATGAAGCATTTCTAGCTTATTTTGACTAGGTTCAAATATTTACATTTTCTTTATATAGTATTTTGAGACTAGAATAGAAATGATGTTAACAAAATACACTTGTTTGGTCTCAGTCCAACGGACTGCTCTTGCTCTGGTCTCTGTGGTCTGTTCTTCTTGGATTAATGGTTCCGAGATTTTTCTGGACATATTCTCTTTACTTTCCTTTTGTTATTGTGCAGCTGGTGAGAAAACTGGAAGATGTGGAATAAAGATAACCAATTCAGAATTTGTAGAGATTAATATTATGATGTATTTTTGGAAAGTATATGTTTTAGTTTCTTTAGTGGTTGGAAAGGTGTTTAATATCATCTGGTGACATGTCTCTAATTCATTTTATCCACAGAGTCTCTCTTCCAGCTTCTTTTGGAAATAACTGTCCGTAGTACTGGAATGAATGACAGTACAGGGCAGTCCTTGACAGCACTTTCCTGCGCTTGCCTCTTCAGTTTGGTAGCTGCATGGGGAGAGACGGGAAGAACACTGCAGGCAATCTCTGCTATCCTGACCAATAATGGCAGCCATGCTTGTCAAACTATTCAGGTATCGTATCTGGAATTTTGTTTATATCATGCATGAATTCTGAAAACATTTTGGTATAGTAATTTAAATATACTGGCTTCATTCTTTGGTTCATATTATTTTTTAATTAGAAGAGAAAACATCCATTGTGGACAGCTATGAATATTAAAGTGAGTCAGTCAGGGTTAGTAGGAAGCAATTCAGGTATCTTTGCTCCATTATCATTAGTTTGTTACAAGTTGGAACCTAAAGTAAGAGTTACATTTCTTGGTAAACAAACAGGTTTTTTCAGCAAGACTAATTTTAAAACTTTAATTTTTACTTTTGTAACCTCTATATGTTTCTCAGGTTGTAATGTTTTACATAATTTCATCACAGTTCCTTTACCATTTAGGTGCCAACCATTTTAAACTCTCTTCAGAGGAGTGTACAAGCAGTTCTGGTGGGCAAAATCCAAATCCAGGACTGGTTTGGTAATGGGATAAAGAAAGCAGCCCTGATGCACAAATGGCCACTGAAAGAAATATGTGTTGATGAAGATGACCAATGCCTGCTGCAGAGTGATGGTTTCTTTCTGTATCTTTTATGCAAAGATGGACTTTACAAAATTGGCTCTGGATATAGTGGGACAGTGAGGGTAATGTGACTTTTGAAATCTCATGGTAGCAATTAAAATTAAAATTTCAGTTACATTTTTATCAGACCTTGGCTTTTGGATTCTCTTGTAACTTAGTAGTACTGGTAAACAATTTTTAAAAACGTATTGATTATAAAAGGTTCACAATGTCTATTGACCAGTTTTTCATTTTTTCTGTTAGTTTCTCACTTCTCATCAGGGTGAAAAACATTGTATCTAGATAATAAGTAATTAACTATATAAAAATGACGTTTTGACAGTTGTCAAACTAACTTTCTTGTTACCTTGCAGGGTCATATATACAATTCTACATCTCGCATCAAAAACAGAAAAGAGAAAAAATCTTGGTTAGGGTATGCTCAGGTAGGCAAATACCTAAAACAAAGTAAAACAAAGTAATATTTGTTTAAACAACACACTTCAGGACAGACTTATTCCAGTATTATTACATTTACTTTTAGTTTTACAGTAAATCTCATTTCCAGCACCATTTCAGAAATTGTTGTAATAGTTGGAGGAATTCTTCTGTTGGCAGACAGAAAGGAACAAAACTAGTTTGCTTAGCTAGAATATATTATAATATTTTTCTAAAATGTAACTGATGCTTTTATTTTAAAATGGTTTATTCATGCTTAACAACTTCACATAGAAATGCATACTTTATTAAGTGAAAAAAGCATTAAAACATGCTTTTATGGTTACAAAATGGTATAGTGCTGTGTATACTTTTAAAATGGCTAATAATAAAATAATTTTAAAGGGATCATGATGGGCATGGAATTTTCTCCTTTTTCTTTTCTGAAGCTGAGGATTTCCTCAGTCTTAAACCTGTGAACTTCAATACAGTTCAAAGTACCCAAGTAATACATTCATCACGCTTGCACAATCTGCTTTTGTTAATATATTACCGAGGTATGTATAAGCACAAAATGATTGTGCAGATGTCTGTCTTCTATAAGCTTTTTTCTGTGTATTGTAAAGGAACAATTGTCAACATCGTTTCATTTTTAAGTTTATATACTCACAGTTTTTCCATATAGGCTTGCCTTCATTTAACAGATGCCTAAATACTATCTAGCCGGATAGTTGAATAATGTGGTCCCCGTTTTCAAAAAAAGGGAGGAAGGAGGACCCAGGAAACTATAGGCCAGTCAGTCTTACCTTGGTCCTGGGTAAGCTTTTTGAGAGAGTTATCCTGGCGCGTGTCTGTGAGGGGCCTGCAGGGGAGATTTATGCTTAGGGGCAACCAACATGTGTTCATTAGAGGCAGGTCCTGTCAAACCAACCTGGTGGCCTTCTATGACCAGGTCACAAAATCCTTGGACGCAGGTGTCGTGGCGGGCATAGTCTTTCTGGACTTTAGGAAGGCCTTCGACACTGTCTCTCACCCCATTCTCATTGAAAAACTAGGGGACTGTGGCGTCAACACCTACACAGTCAAATGGGTCGCCGGTTGGCTGGAGGGCCGCACCCAGAGAGTGGTGGTGGACAAGATATTTTTCGACTTGAAGGGATGTGGGCAGTGGGGTTCTGCAGGGCTTGGTCCTCGGGCCTGCACTGTTCAACATCTTCATCAGCGACTTGGACGGGGGGTGTAAAAAGTACCCTGTTCAAATTCGCAGATGATACTAAGATGTGGGGAGACGCAGGCATGCTAGAATGGAGGAATAGGCTCCAATTGGACCTAGATAGGTTACAGGGGTGGGCAGATGAGAACAGGATGGGTTTCACAGGATGAGAACAGGATGGGTACTGCACCTGCGGGGGGAGAACCAGCAGCATACCTACAGGCTGGGGAATTCCCTTCTCGTCAGTGCAGAGGCAGAAAAGGATCTTGGGGTCATTACTGATGCCAAATGAACATGGGCCGACAGTGTGGGGAAGTGGTCAGGAAGGCCAACCGTATCTTATCATGCATCCACAAATGCATCTCAAGCAGGTCCAAGGAGGTGATCCTCCCCCTCTATGCGACACTGGTCAGGCTGCAGTTGGAGTACTGCATCCAGTTCTGGGCGCCGCACTTCAAGAGGGATGTGGACAACATGGAGAGGGTCCAGAGGAGGGCCACCCGCATGATCAGGAGTCAGCAGGGCAGGCCCTACGAGGAGAGGTGAAGGGACCTGAACCTGTTCAGCCTCCACAAAAGAAGGCTGAGGGGGGATCTAGTGGCCATTTACAAACTAGTCGGGGGGACCAGCAGTCATTGGGGGAGTCCCTGTTCTCCTGAGCACTACCAGGAGTGACAAGAAATAACGGTCACAAGCTGGCAGAGGGTAGATTCAGGCTAGATAGCAGGAAGTGCTACTTCACTGTCAGGGCGGCTAGGATCTGGAACCAACTTCCAGGAGAAGTGGTGCTGGCTCCTACCCTGGGGGTCTTTAAGAGGAGGTTGGATGAACACCTGGCTGGAGTCATTTGATCCCAGTACTATTTCTTGCCATGGCAGGGGGTCGGACTTGATGATCTGTTCAGGTCGCTTCCTACCCTACCAACTATGAAACTATGTTGTAATCTAGCATGGAGAGACATATGTATAAGTATCAGTAAGGTTGCTGAGTATACCTGTAGAGTGCTTTAGATTTGGACTGCTCCCATCTACAGGGTTTCTCAAAATGGTCAAGTGAGAAATGGCAGATGCTGCTCTTGTAAGGTGTAAAATGTGAAATCTGTATACCTTGTGAAGGATTTGTGAATCCGTCACAAGTCTTTCAAGAGGGTAGGAGAAGAAGAACCTTATAGCAGTCTGTTGCTATTAACTTTGGTTGGTTGGTCTTACCTTCCCACTCTGTATTTTAGTGGGGGATATCTTCACTGAACAGTTTGGGGACAGAAGTAGCAAAACACTGGCATCTTGCTTTCTTCTTAAATGTAATTGGTACCTACTGGGTGTCAAGAGTTGTGGAACTTTGAATAAAAACTGTAAACACACTTAAAAATTCCATTAACCTTCTAATACCTTCATTAATGCTTATGTCACCTAATACGCATATTTGAAAAATTGCAGTTGTAATTACATCTTCTCCTTTAAAGGATAATACAAGAGAGTCCATGTGGCTTGTAGAGTGTAGGACATGATAGTTCGTGCATAAGAAGTAGAATGTCTTGAAATGCCAGACGTCCCGGTCTGTGTTGGAATTTAATGAAAACAAGATGTGAACCTAAAGATGAAACAACTCTGAATTAATAAATTTAATTTAGATAATATACATAGCTTAAAATTGTATAAGATTTTCAATTTGATAATCACCTTTTAAAGCATTTGTGAAATTCTAATTTGCTTTTGTATTTTTTATTTACCAGGGTTATTTGTTATATAGAGATGTGAACAATCACAACATGACAGCCATAAGAATAAACCCTGAAACCTTGGAACAAGATGGTACAGTCACTTTGCCAGGTATGAAACCCTAGACATGGCCAAGAGTGTCAATACGTTTTAAAATACAGTTTCTGAAGGCTATCTGAAAAGGGCTGTGGCAGACGAGGAATCCCTTTATCTTATGGTCTGAATGAACCCTCGTTAATAGCATAACCTCCCATATTACACACCCCATTTCATTTATCTTGGAAGCTCCCACAAGTAGTCCTATAATTTGCTTCAACAAAAACTTAACAGCAGACCTCTAAAATTTAAAGGTATCTAATGTTTAAAATTGCCAAGTGATGGAAAATTTAGTATGTCCTTTAACCACTGGAACAGATTTTCAGCTGTTTGTTTGTTTTTTAAAGACATTAATTGTTTCTGTATCCAGCAATTGTATCCTGTTATGCCTTTATACGTGTTTCAAGGAACACAGGGTATGCCTTTTATTTGTAGGTTCAAGGAACTTCTCAGAAAATGCCGTCTCTTAGCTTAAACTCATTTTTGGCTATGGAAAAATAATAGAGCAGTTTTTCTGTTGCAAAGGATTCAGAATCAGATGCATCTCAAGCAAAACTAAGGAAGTTACTCCTGCTCTATTCAGCATTGGTGAGGCTGCAGCTGTAGTACTGCGTCCAGTTCTGGGCACCACGCTTCAAGAAGGATGTGGAGAAGCTTGAGAGAGTTCAGAGGAGAGCCACTTGTATGAGCAGAGGCCTGAAGAGCAAGCCATACAGGGAAAGACTGAAAAGAGAAGACTTTTGGGGAATTTGGTGGCAGCTTAAAAATATACCAGGGGTGAGCATCAGGGGCTAGGCAAAAAACTATTCACCAAAGTGCCTAAGGGGAAAACCAGGAGCAACAGTCATAAACTCCTAGAAGAAAGTTTTAGACTGGATATGAGGGAAAGCTTCATGGTTCATGTGACCGGACTCTGGAATAGACTCCTAGTGGGGGTGGTGCAGGCACCTACCCTGGAGATCTTCAAAAGAAGACTGGATGCACACCTTGCTGGGGTTATTTTACCCCAGCAGTCTTTCCTGCCCAGAGCAAGGGGGCTGGACCCAGTGATTTCCCAAGGTCCCTTCGAGCCCTAAACTTCTGTGAATTTGTGAAAGGCCAGAACAGACTAACCTAGAGTAAGTCCTTCAGAACCTGTTGAGGTGCATTCTTCCTAGTGTATTCTGTCTTAACGTCTGACAGATAGGTGCTGAATAGCATCCCTCATGGCTTCTCTAGAAAATTTTACTCCTAGCACCTTTCCTAGGAGTTCTGTCCTGTCTTAGGTATGAAGAGACTCAAACATGTATGCCACATCAGATTCAGGTTTTACTGTTAGTCTCTTCTCTAGCTTAAGATTGTTTTGTAGCTTTTGATTCTCAAGATATGTATTTCTATATACCCAGCCATCCAGCCTGCGTGGCATACAGGTACTCCTCACTTAACGACCTACCTGTTTAATGACCGTGCGGACTTACGACCAGCTGTCCGTAGAGTCGTAGAGCTGGTCGGCGGCGCGGCGTCTCAGCGTCAAGCTGAGGGGGACGTGGAGCTGAGCCCGGCACCCTCCAGCCGGCTTCGCGAACCCACGAGGGGGGAGAAGCATCCACCCAGAGGGCAGCGGCCAGGACTCACCGCCATGGCCAGCGCCTTCCCGTCCCTGGCTGTTTCCCTGGGGGCCGACTGCGGTCGGTAAGGGGCGGCTCTTCGCTTATCGACCAATTCGCTTAACGACCGAGTTGTAGGAACGGAACTCGGTCGTTAAGTGAGGAGTGCCTGTACTCAAATTTACAATAGAACCCAAACATCACTAACAGAGGTTAGTGTCTTTTGCTTCTCCAAGAGTTGACAAAATTCCTGAGGGGTGGCAGCACACTTAAACTGTAAGTTAAATACTGAAACCTTGAATCCCAATTAACTGGCTGATCAGAAGCTAGTCCCAGCAGGAGTACTCTTCCACTAGGGCTTTTTGTGAACAAGAAATGATTTTACTTTCTCCTGGATAATAGAAATCAAAGGAGTTCTGATTAACCTCTTGATTGGCAAGAGCTTACCTTCAGAGGACAGTCTCTCCAGTCTGACAAGATGCCTACATTTTAATCCAGTGATGGTACATGTGTATCTTGAACTGCCAGGTTAGGTGTTGGCCTGCTTGTACCTAATGATGCTTGCCAGAATGTATATATGGTCCTCTTATGGCCGAGGTCTGTGATCTCTTTTTCAGATATTACATGAAAAAAGGACCATAGTCCCTCCCCAAGTCTTACAGCACTTACTAGGTGGCTGGACCTGAGAAATGTATAAAAGGGTTCTCTTCTGTACTTTGTCCTCAGTAATGATTCTCTTGAGATTCTTCAGGGACAGGTTGATGTGCCTTTCTAAATGATTTGCAGATGAAAAGGAACTGGTTCTATTTGCTATTACATACGAATGTTCTGGAGCTCGGGGCCATTCATCTGGCTTGCATAGTAGTGCTAGATTCAGCCAATACTGAAGAATGCCACAGACAGAACAGCTGTGGTGGAATATATAATGAGCAAGAATGTTCTATGATAGCCCCCCTGCAGGAGATAACAAAGAATCAGAAAGAAGGACCAGAAGGGACCTGTAAGGTCAGCAAGTCTGGTCCTCTGCCCTGGACAGGAGGTAATTGGGTTCAAATGAGCTCAACAAGGTGCTTGTCCAACCTCCCTGTGAACACTGCAGAGTATCAAGTAGTAAACCTTATGAAGTTGCGTTCAACCCTTACCAGACTTCTTTCTAATATGGTAGTCCTCAGGTTTATCCTATATGTTGAGTCTCTGGATGATTTCCAATATTAGACAGAACAAAGATCCAGTAATTTTAATAGCTTTCTCACTGACTCGAGGAGTTCTGAGCAACTTGAAAATATTCATTCAGTCTCCTATCTGTATCCGAGTCTGCCTGTATGTGTGCCTGAGAGCTTGCTTTCTTGAGTACTGTTAATAAGGGACTGTTCCAAAAAACAGTGTACAGCGTAGTTCCAGTCATACTCAGTCTTCACATCTGGGTTTTATGAAATTTCTCAAGGGCCTCCTGCATAGTTACCAGCATGTTAGAGGTTCAACTCCTATATGAAGTTCTGTTGAAAATTATAGAATTTTTTCAAATTATTGCTAGATTGTGGGATATGTTACCTTATTTCTTAAGATGTTTTTTCTGATAATTAAAGATCAACAAGCTCCCGGACCTTATGGCTAAACTTCCGTACACATTCTGTCACAAGGACAAGACCGTGTTTCACCTAAATAAATTGATTACCTTAGCAGTCCTGCTTCCTTGAGCCACATTTGACATCCAGAGAAAAAGCTGAATGCCTTAGCTGTTCCTACAATCTTGTATTATCTTGACAGGAATAGAACTTCAAATTGTCTCCCTAGAAATTTAGACATTTTTGTTAGAAGATCTCTTAGTTAATCAGACAGTATTTTTCCATTTGCTATCAGTAAACTAATGAACTTCTCGCCAGGTGTTATGGCACCCTCAGTCCACACACAAGCTATACCTTATTTTTCTTTACAAATCCGCTAATATTACATTTTTGAAGTAGCAATATGGAGCAGTTGAGTGGATTACATCAAACATGCCTTATTTAGTAAGGTAGTATTTTAATTTCTAGTTGCCCAGTGCAGCTGGCACTTAGTGCCCATGATTCAAGGAAGGTGCTGCTGGCAACTAACTATAATGGAAGTCACAGTGATATATATTCAGAACAAGAACAGGTACTTAACGTACAACAACTCTACATTTTTGATACTCTAATACGTGGAGATCAGAGATTGTGGCCCATCTTCCATTCTCATATTTTTGGAGTTATCAGTAGCATTGTCTTTTAAATTCAGAGAGATTTGAGAAAGAGATACGTTGCCCTTTATGCCCCAGCACAGGAATATAAGGTGCAGTGCACATGCGTGGCTCTAGTGAACTCTGCTGTTCAGAATGGATTGTTGCATTTGTGAGGAATATGATTGTTCATGGTAGGATCCATACTGACTACATTAAAAAAAATAAAAATTAAAATAAGCAATTGAAGCAAAATGACACTTTGCAGTAGTTCATTTGGAGATCATAAGCCTGGATAACAGTGACAAATTCTGTAACCCTTAAGAGTTACTGCATTTGCTTTACCCATTTTTTAAATAAAAATATTGTGGGTCACTAGGGCTCATTAAGAATCCAGAATCTCCACTAGATTTCAAAGCACGTGGTCAGATAAACCTAAAGAAATGTATTAGCTTTGTCATACATAATATATGCTTCCACTATTATCTGTTCTATTTCAACCGACTTACCCTTGTCATAAATTCTCTTGCAGGCACTGGGAGAACAAAAACATTGCATTATGAGGGTTTCTTGAAAGAGAATCCCTCCTTGTGCCGCACTGACACAACTTTAACATTACAAACTGTATCATCTTAACTATCTTCACTAGTGGTTCCAAAGCAACAGGGTCTGTGGTTCTTTGACAAACAGTGTTTTGGTTTTTCAAAATGACCAGAATAGTTTTCTCCTGTCCTCAGAAGAGTGGAACAATGGAAAAACACCATGGTCATACCCAGTTCACTCTCCTTTTCAGCATCCAGTCACTGTCACTGTGTAACACAGGATACTGGGCAAGATGGACCCATAGTCTGACCCAGTAAATGGCAATTCTGTATGTTCTTCTGATCAGAAATGGCTGAATTCTTGACTGAAATTTTAACAGGCTGTTAACAGGTCTGTGAAAATTCAGTCAAAGTTAAGTTTGTCAGAGGTCCAAGCAACTGAAAAAGAGCATCTATATTGTGAATTGTTGCTTATCACTTTGCTTATAATTTGCTTGTGTGTGAATTAGCTGGTTGGGAAGCCGGCCTTTTAAAATCAGTGGCCCAAATAAAATGTTTTTACTTTTGCCTAGAAGCTTTCCATCAAATAGGAGATTTTAATCTTGTAAAACTAGTGTGGACTACTTATTACATGTATGTTGCTATTATTTATTTAGTATTGGGGAACTCCTATTTTCTCCATATGCTCTT